CACTGGATGGTACTTGGCAGGAGCATTCACTGTATTTTTTTAATCACGCTACACAGACACTCATGAAAAAGGGGTTCCAGACCTGCTTCAGAAAGTGGCAATAATGGGATAAGTGTGTTCAAAGTGAAGGGTAGTGTTTGAGGGGAGTAATGGCAATGTGTTTTTTTCATTGTAATAAATTTTTAAAATTTAAACATTCACCATATATTCCGATCACACTATATAGGTATAGTTTGAGAAAATACATTAAGTACCAAAACAGGTAAAGATAACTCTACCACAAATGGTTATAGTATAATTTTAGAATTAAAAACAGCTTTTTTTTACTCTCTTATGAAAGCAGAATGAATATCTAAAAAAAAAGACTAAAGAAGAACATGGAAGATGAGAGATTATGAGTGTTTTCTGTTATTATCCTTTTAGATCTTCTGTATTTTCCAAGTTTTCTACAGAAAGCAGGCACTGGACTTTTTTGAGGAAAAAACTTTTTAAGGAAGCAAAGAACAACAGTCATTTAGTATTTTTCTTAAATGTGATTAAATTACACCGAAGGGTTAGGTAGTTAACAGGACTGTAACACATAAACTGGCATGGTACAGTTGTACCTCCAGACTCATCCTTAATTAGTTCTAGAAGGTATGACTGGAACCAAAAACTGTGAGTACTAAATAAATTGTTTTGGCCACAAAGGGTAGTAAGTCACAAGACAATGATCACAAGTTCTTGCTTCCCCCTGGAATACCAAACAAAGGACAAGTAGCAAGACAAAATTTTCACATAAAAATGTATCAAGTACCAAATTCAGTTTCAAAACTGTCAAGTAACAAGGTATGGTTGTATTTTCATATTGAATATGGAGAATAAATTTTATATTTAAAGATGTTAGTGTAATTAAAAACTACATATTATTTTATTTGCTATTAGTATTTCCTTTTCTTCTTTCCTAGCTAACTATAAATATTTGAAAGTTCTCCTCAATAACGGACCAAAACAAGTGAATAAGCTCTCCACTTTTTGATCATACCCTCCTGGGTTCTCTCATTCTGTTTCCTTCCTTTTAACTGTTTGTCTCTCATTTCCAAGTGTGACCTTCTAAATCTGCCCTTCTCTCTACATCAGATTACCCTTCTAACTTCCTGTATAATATTCTCAATGTTTTTTACTTCTCTCAAATTCTCACTCTCTGCCTATCATGTATGTTTATATGACTGTCTTTGCATTCCTCTTAAATTTTGCCTTTCTCTCCTCTACAGTTACCCACCCCATTTTAAGACATCCTCGTTTCCTTTAACTTTTATAAATAAGCAGTGTTAGATTTATTATTACTATTTTACAGTTAAGAAAACAGAAATAGTGCTATTAATATAAATTCGAGGATTTTAATTCAAGTGCTTCCCTTCCTTAATACTCTTCTGACACTGCATGGCAAAGAACTTGAAACAGCCCAATTACAAGCCAATATTAAAACATATTCAAATTCTTTTCTAAGAAGTAGATTTGATATTTAGAAATACACATTTGTTGCACACATTTTGGACTCTGTATCAAGTTAATTGATCACAAACTGTCAGCTACCTGACTATTCCAGAAATTTGTATCATCATTTTCATAGGTTAACCCATATTATTTAGAAACCTCACAACTAAGAAAAACCATAGCAATAATGCTTCTTTGCTACTATTTTATTCCTACTCCTCAGACACAGTTGGCTTTTAAAAAACTATATGAGGAGGGCCAGGGATTTAGCTCAGTGGTTCCGCCACCTGCCTCACAAGCACAAGGTCCCAAGTTCAATCCCCGGTACCAAAAAAAAAAAAAAAGATATGAGGACAGCAAATATTAATAAAATTGAAGAATAAATTTGAAGAATGGAAAACTATACAGAAAGCTAGGCAAGACAGCAAAACAAAATAATACATACATGGACTAGGAGAAATTCGTCTATGTTTTGAGAAGAGAAAATTCTCTCAAAATGCAAGCTTACTGGTGCTGAGCAACAACACCCTGTAACTTTTTTTATCTAATGTTCTGACAATTTCTCTGTAATTCAATAACCTCTTAGTTACTCAAGCTTCATTCATCCTGCTGGGTTCATTAATGGAGAATTCTAAATGTTTTTCCCACTAGCTAATAGCACATTTTCAGGTGGGCAGCCTAGAAGAGGGGTTCTCTTTCAACACATGAACAGTCTACTCCTATTTCTTCTCACTTCTCCTGTAGGTGGGAAATCTACACCAAATACAATTTTAAAACTAAAAGAAATCCCCAAATTATAGGTTAGGTTTAATGATTGTCAAAGACTATCCTGTAGGTCACCAGTTTTATATATAGTATGAGGGCTAGTTTTCATAAATTTTTTTTTTGGTACCAGGGATCGAACTCGGGACCTTGTGCTTGCGAGGCAGGTGGTGGAACCACTGAGCTAAATCCCCAGTCCCATAAATTTTTAATAAAAAATCTCTACTCTTACTACTGGCAGTAGTTTATTTACTTACCTCTAATGAGGTATATGAATGCAAAATTTAAAAAATACATCACTTTTACTATTTATTCTGGTGAGTTATTTGTGGGTAGTTAGCTCATAAAGCTAATGAGGACAAGGTCATATATTCAAACTCCATGTTGGCCAATTAGCTTTGCAGTGTTTCAGGTTCCATGGTCAGTCAACAACCTTAACCTTGGCCAACAAAGAAACACTGATCATGTGAATCATTAGGAAATTGAATATAGATGTATAACCAAAATCTACTCCTATCAGAAAAGTACAATAATAAAAATTTAAATAGTATTCCAATTTTAAATAAGATTCCTATTTTTTACTAAGTGTGACTAGTATGTGCCTTGTTCAAATAATGTGTTTTCAACTAAACAGGGTTATAAGCCCTGTTTTACAGATGACAAAGTGAATTCAGAATGATTGTACAAACCAAAGTCACATGCAAGAAAGCAAGGATTCAGACCTTTGATTCTAGAGCTTTATTTCCACAATACAATATGGTCTTTCTTAAGTGTACTTCAGTGACAGAGAATAATCAACAAAATGTTATTCAGAACTTTTCAGCATCATCATTACTGAGTATCCACTATGCATACTCAGATTCTACAGCTGCCTGAGAGTAAAGTCTACCTTCCAAATTACTTTTAAGAGTCAAAGCTCAAGTGTTTAAAACACACTATAGCACACAAAGTTGATTTTAATGAAAGTGACCGTCAGCTTTTTATACAAGTCTGTTGTGAAAAAAAGTTATCTTGCTAATTCATAATTAAAGGGAAGAACGAAACTACCCTCACAAAACAAAAACAAAAAAAACCCTAGAAGTTATAGCACCAATTTGAGCTACATTTGTTCAACTTTGTACACTAATGCACTTTACTGTCATTCTGTTTCTTGAACCATATTCAACCAGTGGTTGGTATTTTCCAACCAATGGTTTCAGAACTTACACAGGTTAAAAGTACCTAATTACTACACCCCAATCTTTTAAAAAGCTGAATGAAAAATATTCTCTACAAGTGGAAAAATAAGACAATAATAAGTAACCTGCTTAGTCTTGGAGGTTAACTGTCAAAAAAGAAACCAGACCTGGGCTGGGGATTTAGCTCAGTGCCTCCGCTGCCTGCCTCGCAAGTACAAGGACCTGAGTTCGATCCCCGGTACCAAAAAAAAAAAAAAGCAAAAAGAAACTAGACCTGAATTATTGGCTATTTATATTTTCAATTCTGTGAGGAAACATAGACTTCTAGCACACATGCCCAGGATAGGTGAAAAATACCACATTTCAACTACTGCATTCAGGTTAATGGGATTCTGTTAGAAGAGCTAAGTTTAGTGCATGAGTATTATCTGAAAATGAGAAAGACACTAGAATTGCTGGAGACTGATACTAATTTAGCACTATACTTGAGGAGTTTTAAGTGCCTTTCTTTCTTAAATGCTTGTACCTGTGCAATGCTGAAAAAAAAGGTTGTAACAACAGAGCAAGCAGGGTAGAGAGCTGTGTTGAAGAGAAAGAAGAGTCAAAATTCTGGTGGGCCTTAAAACCCAAGCAAAGTTAAAAACTGACTCCACAGGTGATAAATCCTTAATGTCACCTCTTCTCTAGAAACCTGGCCTGAGATCATCAGTATGGTTCATAACAGTTTCCAGACAGACATTCCCAATATTTATTAACTCATCTGATCTTCACAATGACATGAACGCGATTTTAAAATTCAACTGACTTGCAATGAAGGCAGGATACTATGGTTACATTTCAAATATGCTTTATAGTCCAAAGATCTGACACATGTATCACTTTTGCTGAACCTCATAATCCTGGAAAGTAGAACAGAGAAAAGACCCATCTTTTAGACAAGGAAACCGAAGCAGCAGTAAACGGACTGCAAGGATCCTGCAAGAGGCAGTCCGAGACTGTTCCTCAGGACATCAATGCTCCTTTTCCCTTTCCCAACTCTGAGAGGAGGCCGTATGGGGGGGAGGGGACACTTTGATAATGGGACTTGGGAGTCCTCCGAGAGCAGCCCAGGAAAAGCAGGAAGTTCGCGTATCCCCAGGCTTCAGAGCCGCGGAGCAGATTAGCCACCGGGCTCGGAGCCCAGGAATCGCCCGCAGCCCCGAGGTCGTCTAGGGGCTGACCCTGCGTCCCGCGGGCCACGACCTCGTATCCCCTAAGGGGTAGACTCCGCTGACTACCTGTTGAAACTGGCAAAAAGACGCCTACGCGGTGAACAACTTGGGGCGAGGGCCAAGTTGCGCACGTCGCCCCAGCGAGGGCCGAAGGGACCAGGACCGTCAGTCTAGACCCAGGCCCCAGGGGTCGAAGGGCGGGAGCTTCCCAGTAACCTCCGCCCCCGGCAGGAGCCGACTGTGCGCATCACGTGAGGAAAAAAACCACTGGTAACAAACACACGAGCAAAGAAAGTCTTGTCCTCGGCTTGTGAGGGGAGGAATGGGGGTAAGGAGCCGCAATATGGGAGCGAAGGCAAGGGGAGAAACGCACTGTGGTGGTTACCGGGATGTCGTCGACCTCCTCTTCCGCCGCCTCACCGAAGCTCCATCTCTTCCGCTCGCGCCGCTGGAGCTGGCGCCAGGCCTCAACTCCGCCTTGCGCCGCGAGGCCTTCTGGGGGACGTAGTCTGCACGACGCCCGGTCACGCCCACCGCGTCGTCATGCGGGGCGGGGCTGACAAAGGGCTAGGTAGGGAGTGCGTGGCCGCATGAATACTTTACCCTCGCCCACGTAACCCGCCAATGTCTTCTTAACAGCCAGGTTTCTTGAAAAAGTGATCTATAGTACCTCCACTTCCTCACTGTGTACGCCAATCTGCACTGCTGCTTCCGCCCCCGCGGAAAACGTGCTTCCCGCCTAACCCATTGTGGGTATTTCAGGCTCATCTAACGTAAACATTACTCAATGCTGTCATACATTAACACTTATTTTATATGGTACTATTCAGTTTTGCCGCCTTCTTTTTAAGCCATTCTCTTCATTCTTCAAGATTTTTTTTTTCAGCCAGGCAAAGGGGCTCATGCCTATAATCCCAGCACTCTGGAAGGGTGAGACAGGACAAACACAAACACATGATCATTCGCGACTTAGCGAGACCCTGGGTCAAAAGTAAAAGATAAGAAAGCCCATCTAATGGAATAGCCCATCTGCTGAGAAATAATGAAATAAAAGTGCTAGCAGTGGGATGAAGAAAAATGGGTGGGGTTGACCATTTCATTAGCAGGGCTTGCTCAGATTGACTATAATGGAAGATGGGCGGGTGAATGAAGGAAAGATCCAAGGGCAGTAATTGGTTAGACCCATTTTCTTATCTTTGGACCCTAAAATTGGGTGCGGCATATAGTAGGTATTCAGCAGCTGTATTGATGAATTTATCCATTCTGTGTCGTGCCTCATCACTGTCAAACTGCTTAATACAGGGTCTGTTTTAGCCCAAATAGTACTATTGTGCAAATTAGAAAAAGTGCCCCCCTTCCTCCAAATGGACATCACCAGGGTGCAGATTGATGAGCAAAGTGGACTACATTCCATCTGCAATTTAACCCCTCAGCTGGCGCCCTTTTACAGTACATAATCTGCACAACCATGCCCAGTTTAACATCCCTTGGAGATGGTTTTGTGGCATCAAACCCAGTATTCATGGGATGAATTCGATGTCCAGAAGAAGAAAGCTACTTGCCTGGGATCAGTGTAGCTGCTGCTTTGAGATTCAAATCTGCCCTCTGAATCCCTGTGGGCTCTTTAGCCTTGGAGCCACATTGTCTCTCCCAAATCACTCAACCCATCAATAAGAAGCTAAATTCAAAATGGTGACTTCCCTTCCTTGAGTTTCTTATCTGTCTCAGTTACTATTGTTAGAGCATTTCACATTTACATGATAATCCAGTATGTGCTTGGTGTCTTACAAAATACAATAAAGCAAAAAGAAACCAAAAGGCCTTGTTTTTTTGACATAATAAGGAAAGGCTGGTTCAAAGGGCCCTTAGCTCTTGGGTGAGAACAATCTGTGGTATATTACTTTAAGGTGATGCTGTAGGCAGTACCAAAAAATTAAAATTCAAATGCAAGCTGTTTTTTCTTTGTATTCCTGACTGGAAGAAGGCAGAGATACTGGAACAACTGGCTCCAGAAAACTATACTAGACAGAGGGTCAAGGATGAAAGTCAAGGACATGAGGAAGAAAAAGAAACATTGTGGAGGAAGAGTCCTCTCCTTTAATAAATAATAGCAATTAACAGTTAACAAGTGCTTAGTGTGTTCCAAGAGTTATGCTAAACTTTTTACACACCTGATATGAATCAATACTCACGCAGTCCTATCAAATGGGACTCACACTTACCATCATTTTACACTGCAGGAAACTGAGACATGGAGAAAGTTTATAACATGCCCAAGGCTAAGCTGCTAATGAGTGAAAAATCTGAGATTTTGAACAAGACAGTCTGGCTTCAGATCTGAGCTCTCAAATACTGTATTATATCACTTTAAGATGTTCCTGGTGCCAGGTCTCTTGTTTTAATAGTATGACCTTTTGAAGTCCTGGGATAACTCACCAAGGCTATCTGATTGTTAGAATCAGGGATTCTATGTTGTCTGTCTGCTTGGTGGTTAGGACATAGTTATCACCAGCCTAGTTTCAAAATGGACAGTTCAAACATGGCATATGTAAAAGATAAGAGGCATGTGAACAGTTATGTAGGAGAAAAGCCCTAGCTCTCCTGGGGGACATTCACAGTCTCTTTTGAGTTTCAATATTCTCCCAATATAATACCATCTTTACCTATGTGACATGGAAGATATGGAGGAAATTTTTATCAAGAAAAAATAAGTAAGTCTTCTCCTTAGAAATGTGGGCCCTGATTGCTGACTCCTAAGTTAAGCATTTTTGTGACTTTTAGCTCATAAGCACAGAGGATCCAAATTTTAATGGGCTTTTGAATATTAGAACCTTTGTGACTAGCATCCAGAATTGCATGGGTCTAAAGCATCAACTGAAGTGTTTGGTTTTTTTGTTATTTTTTAGGACAGTAGAAGGGCAGGACATCAACATATAGCTCCCATTTAATTCACAAAGAAAAGCAAGAGAATTCTCACAAGTGACAGTAACTCCAAACTCCAAAGCCTATGTCAGAGGACTCGCCAACTCTCACTAAAGACACCTTAAAAAGGGCATGGTAGCAACTACTATTTGGGCTGAATCTCTGGGCTGTGATGTCACACCGCATCTGATGCTATTGTCCACTAAAGCTGTTCCACCCACCACTTGATCTCAAAGCTTATACTGTATAGCTAAACTAGCCAATGCCACATACCTACTTGGAGGGAAGAACTTGGTGATACTTTGCCCACATTCATCCTGACTGAATCATCTGCGAACAACTTGACTCCTCAGGGCTATAACTGATAAATAGTTTGGACTTTCTGGTTCCAACATGGCATCATCCATGCCCTGATTTTGACAACTTCAATACCTACCTCAGGATGTGCAGCAAGCCCTACTTTCAACTCCAAAATGAGGTTGAGGACCTCTGACATTCATCAGAGGCGTTAATGAATACCTATGAAGAGTTGGAAAGCAAAGTAATATGTGTAAGGGAACAAACTTGAGACAAGGACCCCCAAATTTTCTACTATTGTAATGTATTTAACCTTAGATGATTCACTAAAACTCAGTTTCCTCATCTGTAAAATGGAGTCCCACAAAGACTGCTTACCTCATCAGGTAGTCATGGATATTAAGATACAGAATAGATGGGAAATGGTTTGGTAAACTCTAAGGGGCCAACAAAGAAAAGGTAGGCTACATATTACACAAAGTTTTGATTCTAAGGTGCACAAATGAACAAGAAATAGTTTTAAAAGTTGCAATGTTAATTCTTTTTTCCTTTAGGATAGTTGTAGAGGTAGAGTGACCTTTCTTTAAAATTCCTTCTCAGGATACAATCCCTCAGTCCCAAGCCCTTTTCCATGGACTCATAACACTCAAAATGGCATTTATACAGGGCTTCTATCTGATAGATAATTATGCTTTCTAACCAATGCCAGAACACCAAGATGAAAATTTGGCTAAACGTGTCACAAAGTTATATTTTCAGGGATCGCCTAGAATTTGTAACCTAACCCCTTATCCAGGGCTGTGGGGCCCCAAATTGACCTGCTTAACTCAAGAAAGCAAGAAGTACAAATCCAGGCAGATGAAACTTTCTACTGGTCTTGAAACCTACTATGTTACTTCTTATATCCTCCCCTTTGCAGTTGCTTTCCCTTTCTCTCATTCTTCTACCTCCACCAGAACCTAACTCATGTTACTTCTATAAAACTTCTTCAACTTGTTTGGACGAAAAAATGACTCCTGCCTCCTCCCTCCACCATCCCCCTTGATGGGCTTTCATAACCTTGGTTATAGTGCTCCCTGCCAAATCACAATTACTGTATGTGTGTCTCTACACCACAAGAGTGAGTGTCATGATTAAACACAACACATGGCATGTGGGCCCCTCAATTGTGTGTTGGATGAACTGTTCCTCCTCTGTTCTTTCAGTGAGAGCTGGGAATGGGAAGCCAATGGAAAAATCTGAGAAAACCAAGAAACCAACAACTTTAGTTTACTCTCATTCTTCACAAACAATTCTGCAGACAGACCTCCTCCCTCTTAATTCTTTTACCTCCAGAAATAATCTTGCAAAGCATATGATGAGTTAATTGTCTGGTAAATAGGCAGAACTTCACAAAGAGTAACTCCTCTTGACCTTGTCCCTCTACCCACATCTGAAATGGTTAATAATAGTTAAGATCTCTGAAACTAAGTGGCCTGGGTTTAATTGCTAGCTCTATAATTTTTAGATATGCAACTGTATGTAAGTTATTTAATCATTCCATGCCTCAGTTTCCTGATGCACAAAATAATAATGACATCACAGAAGGCAGACAAGGGTTGTGAGAATTAAATGATACAATCTATGTAAAGTTTCCAGCTCCTGGCACATAATAAATGCTCTATAAATGGTAGCTGGTTTGTAAGCAGTTCAGTCTTAAAGATGACAAACTCTATTTAAGCCTTCTGAGGGCTGGATTTGTTCCAGGACATCCTGGGTAGGGAGGGGTTTCATGGCCACCCTGGAGTTCTGTCTGGAGGCTTAGACAACTGGTGTCATCGACCTTTGTTTCTAATCTGGATCCATAGCTCACCAGTCATGGCTCCAGCTTAAGTAGCTTATCTTCCCAAAGCTGTAGGTCCAAAGCAGGGCTGGCAGTTACTGAGCTGCCTTGCAAGGGGGTGCCGAAAAGATCAATTTGTATTAGTAAAGTGCTTTGGAAATGTAACATGCTAAATATTAATGGATCTCTCTGAGTGTCGGGAAATGTGCAATCTGAACTCTGCTCAGGGTAAGCTGAAGGTGGGGAGAGCAATTCTGGGCAGCCTGATTGCCACATCCTTGGTCTAATTGGGAGGTGGTGCTGGTGACGCAGCAGAGAGTACAGCCAGCATCTAAGGGCTGGACAGGGTTGTGGATGGCAGCTCTGGAAGGAAGGATGCTCTAGGAAACAACTAACCCACAAATAGAAACCTGGAGTGAGTCGTGGATGAACCCAGAAAAGTCCTTGGGCTTCTTTATGATAAGCA